AGCTCAAAGAGGCATTGGAAAGATTGCTGAACAATTGAAAAGGAGTTAATGAAAAACATTTTGTAACCACAATGACTGTGGGACAGTTTGAAAAGTTTTAAAAGCAGCTAATTTCATAGAAAAAAGCACCTGAAAGGATCTAATATTTTCTGAGTTTGTAGTTCTTCTACTAAATACACAGGGACACATCAAAACAACATACCTTTACGTTTTCATGTATTGATTGAAGTTGTGCAGCTAAAGCTACAAATGTTTGATAGATTTTCTGCATAGCCATAGACAAATCTGTAAGAGACAGATAAAATATTGGTAAGTAACAATCTTACTACCAGGAAAAAATATTTAGTGTTTATATCACAGCAAGAAGCTCACCCAAAACCTGTAAAGAACAAAGCACAAAACAACTGTATGAGGACAAATTAAGTGTCTGTAAGAAATACAGAATTTGAGAGCAATTAGGTGACTCAAGTCACCCAAAGACTACTTTCTAAGAGGGCTTCAAATTTTATTTTGAAAAGTACTCTTTTCTCAGATTTTTGTATACATGGTAATTAGTTTCCTATAATTTAGCAAAGCTAAAAAACATTATTTAACTTTATCTAATTACACAGGAACATTTTATCTCATTGATTTTTACATAAATATGGTTGTCATCAGATTTTCTTGTGTTTGCATGTGTGTTCTACCCTCAAAAAATGTTTTTCTGAGAAGCACTGAAACAATGTATCAAAATGGAAGACATAAATGTGCTGAAGTGGTCTTTTCACTGTGAAAATAATCAGTTTGTGTTTCCTCTGAAGGATGCCTACAACCTATAGAAACGCAAATAGTAGCTATGAAGTTCTTGAAGATGTGTAAGTCTAGCAATAATTCTTGAACTTAAAACATCTGCCTCTCCATAGGGAAATCTCTCCATTATAATTTAAATACATTTCTGCAAAAGAAAAGCTGGGGAATAAATCTTGTGCCAGCCTGCAGGGTTGCAGAAGCATTATCTTGGTAGACTGGCGACAAGTTTCCAAAGAGTCTGGAGGCAACTTATTGATACTGAACACTAGACACTTCAAATTTGAAGATACTCCAGGTCCTATTTTCCTGTATGGTAAAAGGTTTTTCTCTATGGTAAAACCCTACACATGCAATACAGTGTTGTCCAGATAACCAGATCAGTTGCTGACAGCCTGAACATGATGGCACAGCAGATTAGGCCTTGCCTACACAAGCAAGGAACCTTCCAATTATAGCAGAAATTGCTGAAAAAACTCAAGGAAAATCTGTGAAGGCATCCCTTTCACATTCTGGACAGGCCAGAAGATCACATGGAGATAAGATGACTCAGGATTCAGCAGATCTTCCCATCTGGAAGCTACATCTACACAGTTCTGTTGGTTTTGACATGTGAAGTCCAGAGTATAGGTACCATCCTGTGATGGCAAGATGCTCAAGTACCATTTGGCACAAATAAGACATTCGCTTGAAATTACTGCTTATTGCAGAACCTGTATCTAAAATGGCCCAAAACCCACACGTGTCTGTGACCACAGGGAGAGTAACCAACCACGAGACTGTCTGGAGGTCAGCTTTCTCTGACTAGAGAGATTCTCCCAAGGTTGAATGACGCAGCAGCAAACAAGACTACATTTTCTCAGTGGGTCAGAGCTGAAGGCAATACCAACAGGCTCCAAAACTAAGGAAAAGTTTCTATTTGTATCTGGAGCTATCAGAGAAGACATCTGTATTTGTCTGGTCAGACAGCCCAATGCAAAACAGAAGGTGTTAAGACATCAGCTTTGTAATAGCGAGATGCTGAAGGTAGGGAGATGGATATAATGGATGGCAATGCTCACTTCCATGTTTTGTTAGCATCACCCAACTCAGATTTATAGAAGAAATACTACTGAGCACCTTTCTGAGAAAATATCCCAGTGATCTTTGTCCCCATGCCTCCTTTTTTCACAAGATAGCCTTCTGAAAGGACCTTTACATGCCAAACAACTGCATCATTTCTGAGTGTTTACAGAGGGAGGGGGAAAAAAATAATAATCCATGATCTACAACTGTGAAGACATTCCAGTATCTTCTATAGGTAATCACCTCTGCTGTATAAAGACCTCATCTTAAAATAACAGGTGGACAGAAAAGGGCATATTAGTGGAATGGGACAGAGTAAGACAGAAAGCAAAGTGAAAAGATTTCCTCACTGCTAGGTTAACCACAGGAATAATAGACAAAGGCAAAAGAAATAAAAATTATTTGGAAGCAGAGCAGCATCAATAGACCAAGCAATATTGAGGTGAGTGGAAATCTTCCCTTGACATTTATAAGTTCACTAGGAATTGTAAAGAAGCAAAATGCAGATGGATCAACATTGTCAGAAAAGGCAGCACAAAACTAGAGTCCACCTGAATGTAAAAACATCTCAGACATGCCCTGGGCCCACTAAGAGACCCAAGCATCCATTTCTAGCTCCTATACAAGTGTCCTAGCTAAATCTAGAGAAAACTCAAAGTTCTTTTATAAGAATGGTGCCTATGTCAGACATAACAAGAGTGTAAAACATACCATGCTGTTTTATTTCCCCATTTTTCACAAGTTGTGATTTCTGCTCCTACAAATCTAGGTATCCAGATTTCTATGCACAACAAATCAGGCTTACAAATTGCACCTGAAAAACTGGATCCATCTTAAAAAGCACAAGAACCTTTATGAAGTTAACCTTTAACTCCACACCTTTACATTGAACAACTGCTGAATCTATCTGAACACTTACTCACGTATATTAAATACAAAAAGCCAACAACAAAAGATTAGTTACTAAGGTTTTCTCATACGTACGAGATTATTTACTTTTATGTTTGAAACTTAAAAATTGCAACATTTACCTTGGGGAGTTATATGTGAATTATTTGCTTGAGTAGCAAGATGATTTTCCAGTTCTTCTATTTGTTGCCTGTATTGCTGCAGCTGTACTTCAAACTGCTCGACCAAGATTCTGAAGTAGCTGGATGAGTAGAACAATGAAATAATGATTACATTTCACTACTTTGCCACTATTTTTTAATCTGACCTATATTTACTGCCAATTTTTATTTAATCCATTGCAAGTTATGTTCTATGACATTCATGACATCCCTCTACTAGTGGAAAGAGCAAAGACTATTTCTCATGTCTGTAAGATAAATTAACTGTAGAAATGAAATAATGATTTTGTGAAGCATTCAGTACAAGTGTTACAAGAAGCAGAAAAAAAAATCCTATTATGAAGTTCAAAGAATCATAAAATGTGCTGGGTTGGAAGAGACCTTTTAAAGGTCAGCTAGTCTAGCCTCCCTGAACTGAGCAGGGACATCTTTAATTAGACTGGGTTGCTTAAGAGCCCCATGCAACCCATCTTTAATGTTTCCAGGGCTGGGGCATCTCATACCTCTATGGGCAATCTGTTCTGGTGTTTCACCTTCATAATAAAAAACTTCTTCCTTTTATCTAGTCTAAATCCACCCTCTTTTAGTTTAAAATAATTATCCCTTGTCCTACCACTACAGGCCCTGATAAAAAAAGTTTGTCCCCATCTTTCTTATAAGTACCTTTTAAATATCAAAAGGCTGCTACAGGGTATCCCCAGAACCTTTTCTTCTCCCAGTTATATTACTGACTATTTCTTACAAATAACAGTAACTCACTCTGCTGGGGCTGTATTTTCATGCTGGAGACCAGGAGGAGTCTTCTGTGTTCGCAATGCTATTTCTGCATTCTTTAGCTCCTAAATAGGGAAAATTCATAAAAGATAAGGTTCCGTATGATGTGTTCAAATAGAAAAATAGCTAAAACTCATTCATATAAAATATTTTCTTAATGTATTCAAGTTAATACCATGATAGAATCTGACTGGAAATTCTTCAAAGAAAAGACTGCCAGAAAGTCAAAGACTTGCAAATACCAACAAATTTGGGGAGGAAACAAATAACACCTGCTGGAAGCACACTGTGCATTCAGAAATTGAGAAAATGCTGTACAAAACTGTCAGAGATAACATCTAATTTCTGGTTTACTTCAGAAATCTTGTTACAATTACTGAGGACTAATGGAAAAAAATTAAAAAAAAAGTCATGTGCAAGAAATGACACCTAAAAGAGAAGAAACAGAACAAAACGGATTATTTTATTTAAAAAAAATAGTTAAATGCCTCTTTTTCTATGGAAACGATCTTTTAATGCATGATAATTACAGCATACACTTTTGTTTAATACTAGTAACTACCATTAAGAATTTCTCAGTGCCTGGCTCACTGATCATTCTCAACCGCATCACTTACAGAAATACGAGAATTTTGTTTCCACACAAAACTGTTGGCAAAGCACAGCTATAGAGTATTTTCTTTTGGTATCAAAAGATACAGAAAAATCATCAACATTTTCATTTTAGAATAAAATAACGTTCTTATACAGCCAGCAATCTTGACATGCCAGATGAAAAGAGAAAGTGATAGAGAACTTATCTTCAAAAGGACTTGCATCAAAACTTGAGCTCAAACTGGATGCAAAATTAAGATGCAGACTCGTAGACAGTTGACTCATCTTCACTAAATGAATACTAGTACTAGTTAAGATATTCTAGTCCTTGAAATTTTATGCTGTGTTTTTTGTTTGGTTGGTTTTTTTGTGTGTGTGTGTTTTGTTTTGTTTTTTTTTAAAGGCATCAGAAGAAAACATACTTGCATTTCTGCTGCTCCAGAATCCAGCATGTTATTACAAATGTGTCTTCACTAGCAGCTGAATACATAGGTGAAACGGAGCTAAAGTAGGCACACATTCCCTTCTGTTGCCTTTGCTATACAGGAGTGCTTTCCTGAACAAAAGGAACTTTACTGTTCTTGTACTTATCTGAAAAAACTGATGTAACGGATTCGGTCTCTCCCAGAACTTCAAACAGATTAGACGTGATTCAGTTTTTCAGTTTGTTTACTACTCTTTCAGCTTGGACAGGTGTTAACTTGACTGATGACGATGGCTAGTTACCCTATATGAAACAACCAACATACAAACTCTACATAGCAAAACTTATATTCAACTATACCTGTGCAGTTTCCACTTTCAGCTTGTCAATATTAAGAGTGTTCCTTTGTAATCCACTGGCAACTACAGACAGAAGTTGTTTCAAAGCTTTAATGTCTTCTTGTACTTTAAGCATTGCTTTAGAGGACATTCTACTAATTTCTTCCTGAACTTGTTTTTGTTCTTTCACAAATTTCCTGGGGAAGGGAAAAAGATGGGGGTGGGAAGGAAAGAAACAATTATTGAACCTGAAGCACCCATGTGTTTACCTTTCAGTCACATTATTTAAATAGCTATTAACTTTTCCAAAATTAAGTACTGAAGAGTAAAATTACCATAGAGCTTAACGTTATCCTAACACCTAGCGTGCTTTTACTGTAAAAAAAAGGCAAGTGTTTAAACATATTATGCTGAACCCTGACAAGCTAAGATATATGTGAATTATTTAAAATATATATTACAATACATAGCACATATGTAGAAGTGATCACTACTTTGAATTAATTAAGAGTGACATACAGCCTCTATGATAAATCTACAACTTGCCTCCTTCCTGTCTGAGGAAAGGCTCTTTTGCTGTTCTCTCTATCCTGTGTGAGATCCACCATGCATGTGCAACACAGACTTAAGTCTCAATATTTACTATGTATGTGGCACAAGCTTAATACTCCCAGGGAGAGATGGATCAGATTCTAAGAGTATACGAGTATATTTGTTAGGCATGCCCATTTTTTTCCATGCATGGAAGAGAGGCTGAAAAATTAAAAACGGTCTTAGATTTCAGCCACTAGAACTACTTGCCTATTCTGTTCCCAAGGTCAACCTGTCAGAAGGCCTTGGGCTACTAGGTTACTCTGCATTCAGCCTGCAGTAGGGTCTTTTTGTCACAGAGCATCACATTGCATACAATACATTAGCTATTCCACTATCATAAATAAGAACCACTACTTACTGTAAATTTTCTACATCTTGACAGATTACTGGAGGTAGATTTTCATCCTTTAGGGCTTTGCTATCCCTACAAGAGACAGTGCATGTTTAGATGGTGCTTTAGTACTGCCAAACGTTTTTGCACAACTACTAAATATAACAAACATTCAAGTAACTAATTACACCTATGCCACAACTAGGAATGATTTGGATTAATGCACATAGATACTATGCCAGGGTCCAAGCTCGTGGTGTGAGCATTGTACATATTTGCAGAAATCATTTTTCAGACATGACCAGCCTGTAGCAGTTGCCAGATAAAAGTTGGTATTGCATTTGATGGAAAAATGGCAATGTTTAAAATTATAAACCACCATTGTCCATAATGCAAAACTTGATTATTTGTTCCTTTTTTGAGGTCAAAGGCAGGATAAAAGCAAACTTCTTTTTGTGTATGGATGGTTGGACTCTCTGATCTTAGAGATCCTTTCCAACCATAATGATTCTGTGATTCTGTATTTAGTTCAGCTGTTTTCTAATAATAACAGAATGCAAAGAAAATCTCAACACTTACTCTGGTCTTGTTCCGGTTTTGTCACCTAGAAAACAAAAACAAATAAAACTTTGGGGAAAAAACAAAACAACCTTAATGAGATTGTAGTAATTACTACAATCTGCTTGATTTCTCCTGATAAGAAAAATAGCCTAGGCTAGCCATAAAAAAAACATAGGTTTTAATTTGATCCCCCTTCACAGATAAATAGAACTTCAAGAACAATGGTTCAACAGTAAAGGTGCTAATTTCTTTGCACACAGTAACACAAAACATCTGGTGTCACTAGAAATGCATAAACAACTGCAGCTGCATAACAAATCAGTGCCTGCTTTTGCAACCACAACTCAGACCTACACCCACAAAATACTCAGTATTTAAGTCAGCAGTAGCAGTTTCCTCTCAAATATAAAGGTAATTAAGGTTTGTCCATTTGACTTCATTAAGCATTCTGCTATTGTATTCAATTCAGTAATAAATGTGTTTTCCAGAACTGAAGATGTTACTCTTTACCTACTACCTATACACTCCAAACTGCATCTGTGGATGCGAAATACCTCTGAGTAATCAAGTGCATAATAGGGTAACCACATCCCATACCATAGCATTCTGCTACGAGAAACATGCACTCCAAAAGCCCAAGAAGTGAGGTTGATCATCTTCAGCTGGACACAATTCACATTCTCACTTTCCTCTCAGTGCCAACAAGTCAGAAAGCAGCTATGCAGCTAATTATGTAGCTAATACCAATGCTAATGTCAATGGAATCTCAAATAATTCCCTATGCCTTTTGCAAAGGCAAAAAATTTCAACACGTAACTGGGGAAGTGGCAAAAAAAAAAAAAAAGGCATAAACCCCAGAATTTAGGACTCCTGCCTCAGGCAGAAAACTAAGTATACTTTACTTTCTCTCCAGCCACTTTTTTTCCCTGTACACTAGAACAACACAGTAGAAAATGCAGATGGAAATCAGATTTAGCTACTTTCTGGGTGAGTGCTCCAGTCCTTAATTTTTTGGTATTTTTTAGCTATACATGACTAAAATATGTATAAGAAGAGATTCTTTTCCTGCAGCTGTGTTTAAAGAAATACTAGACAGTTAGTCTTCATTCTCCGTAAGGAGAAGTTTTTTATAAGCAATTCCAGAACTGAGAACAAAGGTGGTAGTGCCTATCTGTCCTGGGATTCCTAGGACACTTGTTTTCAGTAGCTGCATCTCCTCCCTTTTCTTCATGAAGGAAAAAAATTAAAAACCCAAAACCATAAAACCACCACCCTCAAAGCTTTACACAGTTCCTCATACAGCAGTACATACAACTGTATTGACAAAACTGAGTAGCAGCACCCAGGTAGGGATATTTGTCAGAACCATCTGCTACAGGAAACACTCCTGAACTAAAACCTAAATTTAAAATTAAAGAAAACTAAAAAAAACGGCCTCCTTTGACATTTTCTACTGCTTGGCTAAAGGATCTCTGCTTATCATCCTGACAGCAACAGCCTGAAGCACCCAGTTCCAATTCAGATACTCATTCAAGTTTCTACCCTAAGAGCTGGGAGATGTTAGACTGAAGTAGATTGAGTGTGTGATTCCCTGGTCCTCATTTTAAGATACTTGTATATTATGGAAGTGTTGTGACCTTCTAATATTATAGTAATTTCAATCCCAGAAGAACCCTGGAATCTGAGCTTTTTCATCATTCTCAGTATCAGTAATTATCCCTAAAACAACATCGTGCAGAGCAAGTGTCCAATTTGGACAGTCGACACTTGTACTCTTGTACAAGTATGAAAAACTAAGTCTCCATAACCTACATTATTCTGCAAAGATGGTTTCACGGAGTTTCTACATTTCCTTCTCTTCTAGCTACAGAATACCTAATCTAAAATTTGGGTACTGAACGCAATAAAGAGATTAAGTTAACAATACTGATTCTCCAGAGAAAACACACAATTCAGAATAAGCTTTAGTTAAACTTACTCTGAAAGTATAGAAGCAAGACAAATTATTAAGTGTCAATATGTCAATGCCCAATATTCCCTTATTACTCTAAATCTACCACAGAGAGTTTTTTATAACTAGTTTTAACAACCTGATAGAATGCATCAGAACTACGGACCACCACAAGTACAGCTTTGAAGAGTAACAGCTAAAAATAGGGCTTTTATTGTGTAGACTGTCAAATTAAAAAAGCAAAGAAGTTGAAGACCTGTTACAGGTAGACAAAGCTGGTTTCAAACGAGTACTTAGGGTATTTGCAACGCTTCACTTAAACATAGCTCTGCTCCCCCCTCTAGTGGCTACTTGACATACAGCTGTACAGAAGAAATCTGCCACAGCTTTTCAGCAAACGGCCCCATGAGCTTTCACTCCCAAAAGGCTCAGGAATCGAGAAACTAGCTTGCAACTATGATCTTGAGTTATATTTAACTCCAAATAAATTTACTTTACATTCTTCTATATAAACACAATATCTAAGAATTAAATTAACTGAAATGCCTTGTGGGAGCAGGGCTGGGAGATGTTAAAAGTTACCAGCTTCAATTCCACATCAGTAACACAATGAAATAGTGTCTTTGCTGTGGTGCTGATAATTTTCTCAGCTAAAAAAAGTAAGAATGTTTTAAAACTTACTTTTTTTGTCTGAAGAACTACTAAAATCAATGCCACCGAGACCTTCATTGGCAGTAGTCGAAGGAGTCGCAGTTGTCCCCAGAGTCAAACTCAAAGCATTCTGCCCAAGTCCTGCAAGAAACCCAAACAGAATTTATTTAAAATGCTAATAATTAGAACTTGTTTTAAACTAAAAGCACATACAATCATATTTGCAGCTTCAGTGCCCGTTTACTACATTTGGATTTAAAAATATGCAAAATAAACAGGGAGGAAAACAGATTGCATGAAGTTTCATGCAACTGTATGCAAACCTTTGATGTAATTTCTTCACATTACTAGGCAGCTAACTAGATAGCTAACTTATCAGCATCTTAAGTACCTTTCTGTTTAATTTAGAGTTTACGGGCAGTGTTAGCAAGACTACAACATGGAGCAAGAAATTTCTTCTCTAGAGCTGAAAAAGACAGGAAAATCATGAAGTGACAATACTAACAGATTTTATTCAGACCAAAAGCCATTTAAACAAGAAGCTTTCAACCTCTCTGCAGTTAGAGACACCTGTATGTCATGGCCCTCTTCCATTTATGATTGACTTGCTTAAGTTGATCATGGCAATGACAAAATCTTTCCTTTTTCATTTTTTAAAGTGCTAAGTACACTTGAATTCAAGAACAAGAAGGAAGGCAATTATTTCAGATTTCATTATTATTGCCCAGTGCTCTACACTGTTCTTACATGTAACACTTAAAAATTAGTGTTTTTCACACTTTCAGTGTTATGATATTATACAAATCAGATCTTACATTATGAATTTATACAACCGCACGGTAAATTTCAATGCTTTGAGACAGAACGAGGAAAAAACTAATGTAACCTTCACCTGTTGCTGCTGTGCTTGTATTCTGGAAGAGTGAACCTCCTAAACCTGCTAAAGCTCCTCCTAAGGAAAGGCCTGTGGAGGCAGTTGTAGTTGGAGCAGTTGTGCCACCCAAATTTAAAGTAAAGCCAGTAGTTCCTGCAGAGAAAGCAAATCAACTTCATGCAGACAGTGCATTCAAATACGTCTACAGACAACCTGAAAAAACAGAAAGGTCTGAATAGCATCTTTATTATAAGTGGATAAACTCAATCACTGTTTTTATTTTCAGCAGATTTTCCAAAGTCATAGAGACTTTAGAATGATGTGATTTCGTTCTATAAAATTAATTTAACACATCATGGATCTAACAAGTGCTATTGAATTTTTATATTAAAATGCTGAAATGCTAATGCTTTATATGAAACATTAAAATATTTTACACAAGACTGATTATAAAGGTGATTTCCCTGGTAGTTTGAGCCTTCCTCTGGAATTAAGCAACCCAGCTTTGGACAGGATAGGGAAGAACTATGCAGAGAAAGACCGCAGGCATAAAGGGACAGAGGGCACGGATAGTTCAGCTCAAATACCAACTCCTGAAGTTAAGAAAAATTAACTCCCATCTTAATTATCATTATGCCCAGCGCAGTTTAGCCGAGTCAAATATGACAGGCATGGGCCAGTATGAGAACTACACTGCAAAAATCCTTGTTTCTACTAGATGGCTTGAAATGGTTAACTAGTAAACTAAAAATAGGTGGACACTTTCCAGACTTCTCAGCTGCGCAAATAGAAAGCTTTCAACCTTCAGTGGGGTTAACAATAACAAAATTGATGATTTTATAGGACAAATCAGCTCTTGCTACACTTCCAATTATTTAATTACAAGTTGCCTGTATCACATGGTATACTGTCCTCTACATAACCATAAATCTATCTGCATTAGGGTACTCAAATTTAGAACTAGTGAAGTTCAATAAACCTTCTTATTTAATGTCCTGGTTTGAGCTAGGATGAAGCCAATTTTCCTTTTACTGATGTAAGCTCTCTTTTAACTAGCACTGGAGTGTTTCAACTAAAACTGGTAACAGTGGATTATTTTTCTAACTGCTGGGTCTTCAAGGTCACACCTTCGCTCTGCCAGCTCAGACACTATGGGGAGATCTACAATGCCCCATAGGAGGCTGAATTAGACAGCAAAATTGTCCAGAGATATTCCATTCCATAGATCTATGTAAGCTCAGAGGAAGGTCAGAGATCACAGAAGACACCTTCCTTCCTGCTTCTTCTTCCCTTCTCATCCATCCATAGCTGGAGTCCAGGGAGGCCTCCGTCCATCCATCCCCATCGACCCCCAGGCTCGAGCTCTCCTGACCCTCATCACTCTGTGCTTTCTCCAGCAGCTCTGGGATTTCTTGGGACTGTTCACAGCTCAGGAGATCCTGTGGGAGTTGCTGGGGACAGGGGGAGGCAAGATGCTTGTGCACATATCTGAACATCATTGGTGTTTAATTAAAGCTGTGTAGTTCAGTTTTCAACCCAGCAAAGTCTCTCTCTTTTCCTCTCTCTCCTTCCCTACCTGGGTGGGAGGGGATTGAGAGCATTGTCATTGAACCTGAGTCAAACTGTGACATTTAACTACCACAAAGTTATGTAAACACTAGAGAAACAGTGTGTAGAACTGCTTTACCATAAAGTTATGTTGTTAAAAAGCCAAACAAAAATACACCACAAAAAACCACAAAATGCCTAAACACTTCCCTACCTGCTGCAGGAGTCGATGTAAGAGCAGATGATAATGACAGGCCACTCGCTGAGGTAGAAGCAGCAGGTAAAGCAAATGGCGTGGCTGAACCTGCAGGTTTGTTGAAAGCTAAACTAAAGCCTGTGGTAGCTGCTGTGGTGGCAGGTGTACCTAAAAGAAATCAAAAACCAATTATCACTCTTAAAACATTCTGTTTGAGAACGAGTGCTCAACCTCTTTTTTGATTTATTCCCATTTAACCATTATGAGCATGACACCATACAAGATCACTTGAATCAAGTAAAATAGCCCCACAGCATCTTCAGATAATTTCAAAGGTTTACATAAATTGCACAGACATTTTTGTCCAGGATTCCTAGTGACTAATGATTATATCATTGTATATAATAAAAAACAGTAAATATAAAAAGAAGATATCCCAGCAAGAGCATCTAATAGAAGCAGCAAAATATTGGTAGATAGAGCTAAACAATGCCCAAAATACAGACTAAAAATTCTCAGTTGGACACGCACACCAAAATGAGAACACCTGCATATTACCCAACTGCCATATATGATTATGCATCACACAATCTTCCCTGGGTTAGCTGCTGCTGCTCCTTCCTTCTACCCATTTCATTTGCTTCTTTATCCATCACCATTTTCTTCTATTTATTCACAGCACAGCTTCCTAAGTTCTTGGACTGCTGTATTACAGTACCACTCCAACATTTGATACTCAAGCTCAATTTCTCCTCAGTTCTCAGTTGCTGGCATTTAACAAGAAAACAAAACCCAAAACTACCCACATATTTCTGTATTTCTAATGACAGCTGAAAAATAGTCTCTAAAGATGATCAGAGAAACAGGAGTAAAATATTCCAAAGATCCCTTTGCAGTTTGACCCTCTTTATTCTTCCACAAGAGGTGATTATCAAACAAACCTGTTCACATGGACTTCCTAAGAGCAAGAAATTCTGTAAGAAGAATTATTTTAGAAGGTATTCTACCTCTGCTGAAGGTTGAAACTCATTAGGGTGACAAATACAAAGTATAAGTCCACTATGACCACTGTCACTGTTGTATGGGAACAGAACAACAAGTAACTGCCCAGAACTACAGGGTTCCACTCTGATTTGCAGCCTTAACATCTGGGCTGCAAAGCAGACTGCAATTATGATGGGGAAAAAGCTGACATATGACCACTAACTTTCTACATTACAAGAAAGATTTACCTCTGTATAACACCAAAATCTAAATGAGGTCCTTACCTAGTGTCAGTCCTGTAGCAATAGTTGTTGCTGTTCCTGCTTTAAGAAAAAAACAAAACAAACAGAATAACAATAGTAGTTGAAGACCACAAAGCAGTTACAATAGTTAAAAAACATGAAACAAAACAGTGAAATAACATATTATGAGAGAATATATACAAGTTGTTTCTGTATTATGTTGAAAGCAAATCATTAATACAAAACAGTATTTGTAAGCATCAGCAGCACAAATCAAAACATAACTGACTCAAAAAAGTTATTTTTCTTTATAAGAATCTGCCAACAGTGAAGCTGATGTTAACACAGCAGTATAGCAAATTGTTTGAAAGTTTAAGTAAATGAAAGTAAAAAATAATATGGAAACTAGTAATCTTAGCAAGTATTTTTTCAGCCATATGGCAGTATGTAACATTAGCATGTAAAACTGTAGATTTATGGAATAATAAAGAGGATTACAGAGTCCAATTCTTTGTAAAAGGCTGTGTCTTGGTTTACGATTTCTACCCCACTGGTAATTTCAAGTGATTATTTTGAACATGGTGCTTTGCTGTTTCATATTTAAAAGCCTTCTGGTTAGAAGGGCAAAAGATTTACTGAAGTAATTTTCTTTTAGCTTTCAATGTAGCCAAGCACAGTAATATAGGCTTTGAGTTTACTCTGAAATTTATTTCTAACAGATTCATTCTTAGAACTTCCCTTATCTACTCATACAAACACACAGGAAAAAAAAAACCCAGACCATTTTGTTATAAGAGAGCCAAAATAAAATTCATTAAGCTATGTCTTCAGGATGGCTAAAAAAAAACACCAAACCCCTCCTGTCAGATAAGTTCTATTATTTTGTACTTCAATACTCCTATAAGAATTTATATGTTCATAGGTGGAATTAGATACCAAAGAAGACAATAAATTCTTAATGCATATTGCTAACATTAAAAAAACCCTCAAACAACAGAACCAGAAACATTTATACCTGCAGGATTACAAAGATCACATTATAAATACTAACAACTTCAATGTTTTATAACGTTTTTCAGATCAAAATATACATCATTCTTAAATCAGAATTTTGGGCATCCTGGATGAAGAGTCAGATTTCTAGAAAATAACACAACTCAAATTATGAAACAATCTACACATAGGTCCAGGCATAGATTTCTGGTAACTGTGTTTGTGTTTCTGCAGCATTAATATTGTGTAAGTCTCAATGAATGACTTTTTAATGTGTTCAATAAAGCCTTCTTACAAAACTATGTAAGTAATACTCTGAGCTACAGAACTATGGAAAAAAAAGTAATCACATGATGATGACCCAGTTTTTGTGAATAGATAATAAATTTCTTTACTGTTTATTCAAATGTGTGCTGGACAAGAATTTTTTCTACCTGTACTGGTGCCTCCCAGTGTAAAGCCAGTGGTTGGTTTTGATCCAAAAAGTCCACTCCCAAAGCCCACTGAAGGAGCTGATGTAGTTGCTGTAGCAGTGGAAGAGCCCAGAGTTCCAAAATTAAGTCCTCCTGTTGAGCTATTACAAAATAAGTCTATTAGCAATGCTTTTTTTCCAAACCCCCCCTCTTATTCCAGCTTCTTTCCCATGCCATCATTCGTTTTCACAAACCACAACCATGCAGCTGGATAAGACAAGAGTCCAAGTTTGCTGCCACCAAGGAGAAAGAAGCCTTTCCTCCTACAGCTCTGTAACTCACACAGCTTCCCTGACACCAGCTCCCAGATTTATTCAGCTCCTTGCTGAGCTGATACATGTTGCTAGACCAGCGGGAAATTTGAACTTCTCTCCATTAGTTCTCATTCAACTCTCATTAGTTCTGCCTAATTATTCTCCCTGAACTACAGAAATGAGAGAACAGATGCTAGAAAGCAGCACAAAGATGACAACAAACCTGCAAGAACATATTTTCAAAGCAGGTTGCAAGTACAGTTAGACACCTCTGACCAGAATCCTCAACCAATATTATTTTATTTCATTCTAAAGTAATAATAAGCACAGACACCCAACCACCGGCATCAGCAGTGCAACTTTGCCCTTCCTTACCACCAAAACACACTGATGCATAAATTCACTTTCTAGCCAAAAGCCCATCCTTCCCTAGAGGTGCAAACCAAAGCAGTCCTATGCCTACCATCCTTTATTTTCTGACTGTGTACATGTCAGAACATTACAAAAATAAACTTCCAGAGCTATTTTCACAGATGAAGGAGCAAATCACAGATGAGTTATCACCAGAAAAATTAAGCCTTTCTTACTTATTTTGGGTAACTAAACATTCTAGAAGTTTCATGGCAAATGTAGAACAAATTTTACATTTAGCAGAAAATGCATTAAGCTATTGTACAAAACCTGGGGGAATACAAGAAACATTAACTGTAACCAAAAAAATTACAGGTACTGGGAGCCAGACTTTAAAAGTTTTTATCTTAAATTGACAAAAGATCAAGTGAATCACTTATTTGTAGTTACAAATGAAAGCAGGATTTTACACTTTTCTAGAAACTAGGTAAATTTTCTCTTAGACATTTTGCATACATACAACAGTAGCATTGAAACAAAATGCAATTTAGATTTCAGGGTAACAGCTGTCAAGAAGTAATTTATGCTCCAGGTTTTCACTATTACAATGTTCCCTCATCTCCTCTATCTTTTTGCATGAAGGGAAGCTCCTAGACATAACAAAAGTAATTTTTTAATGAAATTTGTTTTAAAAAGCTGTATTTATCTTTTACATTAGGAGTTTTCAAAACATCTACAAAAGTGATCTTGGCAAGCCCAGCAAAAGTTGGTTTAAGTTCAAAAGCTAGGTGCAAGATATTCTTAAAATAAGCAATTGAGGAAACAGAGCAGCCAGGAAGTTTAGAAGGACACAGATCCATTAATCATCCCACTTCACAGGAGCTAAACCATTTCAGTTTTCTTCATTCCCAAAATTTCAACATACCAAGAGCACCATGACCTAACTGCTTGGAAGCTTCAATATATAACATGGTGCTTCTCTCACTAATCAAGAGCTGATGTTTCTCATCCTTTTCCAGTACCAAAATGATTTTTCAGGTAAAATTCTTCTTGTTTCAGAATTCCAGTAGAAGAAAGCTAAGGTACAAAACATGAAATTCAGCACCATAGGTGCAAATCTCCAGACAAAATGAAGCAGCATTTTTGTTTGGTTGGTTTAAGGTAGAAAGAAACCAAAAGGTACAAATACAGCTATGGCAGCATTCTCACCAGTAGGAAAAATCATGTGCCAGAAGGACTATCTACTCTCCCCCACAGGTGGAAGGAAGAGGAGCTCAGGTCTTCAGCTCTAACTTTAGAACTACAACAAAGCACTGCACCTGGCTAAAGCACACTAGACAGAACACTGATTAACAAAAAGAGAAAACACAAGTACTTGAACTGCTATGGGTAGAATGCAGGAATTAAGTAGGCCAGCATACCACATAGGCTCTGGGCCACCAGAATATCATCTTTGACTGGTCACACTGATCAACAATCGTTATGCTTGGACTACACAAATACAGCCCCTTTCCTCCCAACAACTGGCAATGTCCTAGACCCAGCTCAGAAGAACAACAGCTACTTTTTAATAGTCTCAAACATGTTCCCAAGAAAACCATCCCACAGGGATTCTTTCACCAATCATCAGCAGTGAAAAGGTCTCTTCCTCTGTGATACTCCTTGACCAATAGCCCTGAAGACTTGTCCTGCTTGTAAGAATAAATACCTGCAGAGTACCATACTGCTATTGATTAGCACTTGTTGAACTTTTACCTTTTTTAACAGAATAAAAAGTTGGCTAGAACAGCAAAAATTAAACAATAAAAATATTTAAAACCAACAGGTAGTTTTTAATAAGCGCAGATCAACAAGAAAAGACTTTCTTGCTTCAGGAACTACACTGAGAAAAATGTTTTTGAATAAATATGTATTATTTAAACTTGCTGATTTTAATCACAGGAAGCCTACATTAAACAGGCATGAAGCAAAGGAACTTAAGTTCTATACTAACTCTATATACACTTCAGTAGCAGGAAT